TACCACCATTATATTTAAAATATATTTTTATTTCAAATCCACCTCCTTAATCATTCAAATCTATGCCAAAATTTAATATTTATGTGGTTTTAAAGAATTATGATCCAAAGCTAATTGACTATTTAAATATCAAAATTAGTTATCAATTGGTGTTATGATTTTATTAAAGAATTTGGAGAAGTTGTACTACCAAATTAAACTTAAAATTATGGACTTCAAGAAAATTTAAGTTAAAAGATAATGGACTTCAAGAAATTATGATTCTAATAATCTTTGGAAATTTTAGTAATTCAAAGAGGTTAAGAGAATTCTAAAAGCTAGTATTTTTGATTGAGAATATAAGCTTGAACCTATCTAATAAAAGAAGAAAGAATAAAAAAGAATTAAAATAAATGAATAAAATAACTAAGAACTAAAAATTAGTATCAATATATTTTTTTCATAATAAGAAAACTAATTTTAAGCTTTTAGAGCTTATATATCTTTTAGATTACTACAATTGCTAATCTCTTATAAGAACACTAATTGTTTTTATCTAAAATCTTCTAAACTAACCTTCATCTAATAATTATAATTTGACACTTTAAATGCATCTTTTTGTTTTTAAAAAATCAATGAATTAATTTAATGACTCACATAAATTGAGCCAAGATCTATATACAATAGATATATGAGGAGCATTCAACTTAATATACCATAAAGACGGAGATGAATTAAAGTCTATATTTTAAACCAAGTAAAGACATTTTGAATATAATTTCATATCTTTTGAATTCACAAATGCACCAATTACTTTTTAATATCTTAATAATGATGTTTTTAAGAATTTTTAGATGATTTTATTATTTATTATTTATTATTTAGAGAATATTTTAATCTATTCTAAATACAAAAGAATATAAATTTCATGTTTATTGTATATTATAAAAACTTAAAAATATACAACTTTACGTTAAGATAAAAAAAATTATATTTTATACAATTCAAGTTGACTTCTTAAAATATATCATTTTAAAAGATGGCCTTATGATAGATCTTAAAAAAGTTCAAACTATCATAGATTAGAAGATTCCAAAAATTACAAAAGATGTCCAATATTTTTTAGGTTTTTTTAGTTATTATCAAATCTTTATTAAGAAAATTTTAAAGTTACATCTTTACTTATATATTTGACTTGTAAAGACAAATTTAAGTAGAAGAAAGATGTACAAGCAACATTTGAAACTTTGAAGTCAATTTTTACTTTTACTCCAATATTGTATTGTATCAACTTCTTCAATGTATTTTTTTATAAAAACAAAAATACAAAGCTTTGTTTTAGGTGTGATATTTTTATAAATGGGAGAAGATGACAAAATTCATTGAATAGCTTTCCATTCAAGAAAACTTTTAGCAATCAAAACCAACTATAAGCTCTACAAAAATTTACTACTTGTAATTGTAGATTTATTTAAAGAATGTTGTCATTATCTAAAGATGCTTCAAGTCTAATTATCCTATATATAAATAATAAGAACCTCAAGTAATTTATATTAGTATCTATTCTTAATTATTGCTAAATTTATTGGAGTATATCTTTATAAAGATTTGAATTGAAGATCATATATTGACTAAAAAAATAATAAGATTTTTTTAAATGTGCTTTTTAGATATTCTTATCTTGCATCAATAGACAAAGATTCAACTTTTAATCTACAAAAAATGATTCTTTTGAGACAAGAGCAAGTTCATTTTTAATGAATGAAATCAATATTAATTATTGATTTAACTTTTTTGAAGTTAGAAAATTCAATCAAATATGTCTTTAAATCTTCTTGTTTATGATATTAAAGAAAATCTATCTAAATCTTATGATAATTCTAAGTTTAAATTCAAGAATAATCTATTTTATTTTGGAGGATGCTTATACATTTTAAAAAGTAAAATATGACTACTTGCTTTTCAAGCTTATTACAATTTTTTTAGTTGTTAAACATTTTGGATAAAATAAGATCCTAAAGTTAATATTTAGAGACTTTTAGTGATTTCAAATTTAGAGGATAGTTAAAAACTTTGTACAATCATGTGACATTTGCTTAAGATAAAAAATTCCTTATTATTGTCCATATAAACTTCTTTAGATATTACATATACCAACATAAGTATGATCTTTGGTTTTTATAAATTTTATTAATGATATTACAACCTCAAAATTTTATGACTCTATATTTGTGATAGTAGATTGTTTTACTAATATGTCATATTTTGTACCATGTACAAAAAATATCACAAGTAGAGAAATAACTAAAAAAAATTAAAAATATTTATTGCTATCATGATATTATATTGAATAGAAGAATTGAAATTATATCTAAGTTATTAATATTTCTTTTTAAAATATTAAAGATAGGCATAAAATTAGCTTTGGCCTTCCATTTTCAAATTGATGGACTAATAAAACGTAAGAATCAAGTTTTAGAGCAATATTTGAGATGTACCATGAATTACCATCAAAACGATTTGACAAGTCTTTTGCCATTGACAAATTTTGCTTATAATAACACAATATATTTCATTATTAATTTTTTTCTAATTATAATTATTATCTATAATTTGATACTTTTGACCTTTTGAAAGTTAATAAAAGATTTGTTAATTTTTAAGTTTATATTATATATATATTATAGATTATTGAATAATAAAAAAATATTATTTTTATTTTTTAATAATAAAAATATATTATTTTTATCTTTTAATAAAATAATAATAAGAATAATAATAATAAAAAAATATTATTATTTTATTATTATTAATTAATTTTAAATTTTTTATATTTCAAGTAATTTATATAGTTTGTTAATATATTTATATTTTAATTTTTATAGTTTATTATTTACTTCTATTAATATATTTTGATTTAAAAATGAATTATGGTCTCATTAAATAATTAATAAAAATAATTAATATAAAAAAAATTATAATCATAAATATTATAAAAATAAAATAAAATAGATAGCTTCTTTGTTATATTATTTAATCGAAAACTTATCAATCAACCAATATATATATTTAAAAAATAAGATACTTAGTCTTAATCGATATTTAATTTTTATTCTTTTAGAAACACACTATAATTTATTTTTATATATGTACTATTATATTTCAAATATTTATATAAAAAAAGTCATTAAAAAATTTAAAAAATATATTCATTATAATTTTTTGTGAATTCATAAATTTAAAAAATATATATATTTTTAATTTATTAGATTGTAAAACATGATTTTAAAAAAATATGAATTTAGACTATGAAAAAAATAAATTATAAGATTATTCTTCATTAAAAAATAAATTGGGAGTCAGATATACATATATATATATATATATATTTATGTTTATATGTTGAAAATTCTAACTTAATAAGCTATAATTATATGAAATAGTTTAAAGTTACATCATCTTGTATTAAGATCCGTATATTTAAATGTATCTATAAAATATTTTAATAAAATATTCAACTTCTGTATTATATGATTAAAATTTATTTCAATTAAAAATTAAACATAAATTTATTACAATGCAATTTATTAAACCATAAAAAGTTATTTTTATTGGAATATAAAATTATATTATACAAAATATAAAAAATATTATTTTTTTAGAATTAAAAATTAAAAAAATTTGAAGCTCTTAATAAATCTCTTTACATTGAAGAATAGATTACTATGCAATCTAAATTACCTTTTGGAATAAAAATCTAAATAGACTTATACCTCAATTACTATTTTACATTTAAAGTTGTGGCTAGTTTTGTTGGTCATTGAAGGATCTTCAAAAAATTAAATTAGTCTCTATTGTAAATTTATTTTTATTTTTACAAAGAACATTTGATGATTCTTTAAATAAATTGATTCACAAAAAATCTAGAAGCAAAGTTTATTATGTGATTAAAAGTGATTTAAAGAATACTAGTTTTTGTATGTCTATTTGAATGTCATTAAACTTCAAAGTGGCAAAGTCTATCTTAAGAATGTACATGTATTGGAAAATAGAGTATATAACTAAAGTTAAGATAAGTGGGAGGTTAATTTGTAAAAGACAAAATTTGAAGTTGCAAGTTCCTACATGAATTAAGTGCTTGCACAACTTGGATTTTTTTGTTCTTAAAAGAGCTTCCCTATTGGCACTTTTTGTAGAATCAATAGGAATTTTGGCAAAGCTTTCACCTCCATATTAGTGAATGACATCTATAAAACTTCATGGTCTTATGAAAGCCATTTTATTTTAAAAGTCATGCTTAAGAGCATAAAGAGAAAGAAACCACCATTGACACCGTGACAAATGCATCTACTTGCTCTACAATGTACATGGATTTTTTGAATTTAGTATTTTGTATGAAATTATCTTTTCATCCAATTTAGATATGTATGATTTATTGGTGGTAGATGGAATTGGTTGTCCAATTTGCATTAGCTCTAATTCTAATTGTACTAAGAAGTTCAATATTATTTTTTCTATTATGAGTGTGACCTTTGATTGTCATATTTAGAAACACATCATTGCATAGTGGAACAATTGCACTGGCTCATTGCATCATTTGAAAACTTAATGTTGCCAATGCACAACACTTTTGTAGTGATACAATAGTACTAGGGTAACACCAATGTCAAGGGAAGCAAGGTTCTATTATTACTCAAGAAAAACAAACAATATATAGGTGGGATCAACATCAAAGCGGCAAAATTTAACCGTCCTTCACTAACTTGCATATGACAACTTCTGGTTTTCACCCTGATAAACTCGATTCTAAGATGGCAACACTTCTTTGGAATTAACAATTGTTCACAATTCGGGGAGATTGAGCGCAATCGGATCGTGCACAGCTTCGCGTGGGCTTGTGAGCCGAGTAGACGGAGATTACGCTACTGAAACACAGCGCAAGAGGAGCATGCATAGCTTCAGGTGGGTTTGGAGGCAAAGGAAGGAATGGGTGAGCGCATTACGTAGTGGGGACATAGGAGGAAATAAAGAAGGGGCGTTGAAAATCAAAAACACCAAACTTAATTTGTGCATCACTCATGCCCTTCACCTTGCCGATCGCACAAGCTACAACTCCATCACCAATGCATGAATTCCTATTTCAGTAACACCATCCCCGGGCACTTCCATGGACGTCGTCTCCGGTTTGAAACCAAGGGATGCAGTATCATGTCGATGCGGACTGTAGGCCGCGTACCCATGTGCTGTTTCTGAACAACTAGATTGGAGGCTACTGATCCTTCGAAATATTGGATCAGAACCTGGGGTTGGCAAAAGCTGGCCATGATCTTAGGTCGAGGATCGCCGAATCCTAACTCTGTAGAACGTCGCCCCAGAGTCTTGCGCTTTCATTAGGTTGCTCTGATTCCTGGACTAGTTGCAGCCCACCTTCATGATCTACGCATTCTCGGACGTGGCACCGCATCCACTCTCTGTGCGATTCGTTTCCGGTGGAGCCAGGATCACATCTGGGTTTCTGGGGGAAATGGGTGCAAGGCTGGGTAGATATACCTGGGTGGCATGATGAGGCATTATTTTCCTGACCCGGTGGGACTGTTTGTGTGTTGAGGTGAGACGGGATGATCCCGCCAATCCCCTGAGGGATGTACCCAAATGTTGAGTAACGGCTGATTAAAAGCACGTCGCTGAAACTCAGCAGCCACATTTCGACGAACGCAGTCTCGGATTGGTGCATGGACCCGTCCTGACGATCCTGCATACAGAACCAAAAAGTATGAAGAGAACGTATTCGAAAAAGTTGCCACGCTTGACTTGAGCTTTAAACAGCATGTTGAACGCGGTCTATCCGGAGAAGCACTATTTATGTCTTACCAAGTGAGAAACCATGTGGAAGCGAATCACGGTGCCGTTCACATTTGGTCTGTTTACATATAAATCCTTCATTTCGTCGTAGTAACGAAGCTGCAGGGACGTAACTAATACCGAGATCTCCGTTGAACCCTCGTATCCGTTGCGGGCAAACGACATTAGATCTGATACGTCCTCTTCCTCTCGTAGCTTTGGCAGTGCCTGAAACGGACAAGGACGACGGTGTCAATTATGCGGTCAATGGTTGACGAGATTACGAAAAATTTAACACACATATCACGACAAAGTAGGAACTATGGATAATCACCCGATTGGTTTGAAGGCAGTCCAGGATTCGGTCATATACAACGGGGTCGAATTCAGCAAGGTTGGGTCGCCCATGAAGGCGAACCTGCACCCCAACTCGTCGAGAAGATCCTGCAAGGTATGCGAAGTACAGACGGACAACGTGCGCCCAAAGCTTGTTGTTGGGAAGCAGAAGCTTATGACTGAGAATGGTGAAAATCTGCCCGGGTTTAGCCAAGGGGTTCAGACGCTCCCAGACACGAGGAATCATCAAAAGACGCGTGATGAAGTACTGGTTGCTGGTCCATGCCAGCCACCGCACCTTCGCGAGGCCGTTGTGTGTGTGGTCGCAGAAGAACTGGCCATCAGCCCATGTCTATAACCATTAACCAAGTCACCAATTCAGTTTCCATTATGAAAAATTTAACCTAAACGTGACACTGTAGCGTTGCCTAGTGATGAAGATTTTGAAGACTTCAGTAATGAGATGAATGTTACAGGTCAGATTTGAAGCACAGGTACCTGGATGTGGTCGAGGCTGAGACGAACAAAATTGTCGACGTCGGTGAAATTCTTAGAGATTGCCACGTTCATTCTCGTTGCGTTCCCCCAAACATTATCATACGGAAAACCTTCTGGCAAGTACCAGGAGGATCCCGGAAATGGGTCGCACAACAGGTCCTTGAAGTGTTTTCTGCTCTCCACCAACACGATGCGGTCTGTTGCTAGTGCGTAAGCGAATGCAGAAGTGAGCGACAGCAGCTTGTTCCCCAACCCGCCGCTGCCCTCCATGACAATCATATAGTTGCAGTCGACTGTCATGTTCCGCTCGTGCAGGAATACCTGCGTCCAATTCTTACCCTGCGTGCATGACTGGTGCATGGCGACGTAGCGATCCCATGCTTTGTCGAACTCTGGCAGTGGCTGGAATCGTTCGGGATCCCTCCGGTAGAGAAGATGTTGTGTCCTTGCAAGACATGTGGGGTCATGAGTTATATTCACCAGTGCGTCACGGCGAACTGAAGCTGATTCTGAAGAAGACTTTTCAGGTTGGTTGTTTCTTATGCTCGAGATGTCCGCAACTGCTTTCTGCGAGGAATATTTCGCCCAGCCAATTACGGTTTCAACGTCCATCGCGAATAAGCACACGAAGATGACCACGGTGCCCAGAGTACCGAGCAAGATGGCATTTCCGGGGAGTGACACCCCCTTTGCGCCATCTTTCGTCATTTCTGCTTGGAAATGAATCGGAAATTCAGAGCTTAGAAGCCTGCGTCCTCAGTGGGCGTGGTATTCTAATCCTCGAATTCGGTCAAATCTGTTACCAGAACAGCGACCGCCTGCAGTGAAGTTTACTGAAATTGAATCTCCTCTCCCGCATTTAATGTGCGGGATGATGAGTGCCTTGGACTTCAATACAGTGGAGTTTCCAAATTTCTCTAACGAGAGGGAGAAGCTTGCACAGCACTGATAGTGCTTTGGAAGGATATTAACAGTATTTGGACTGCTAGTCTACTGTGTACCACATTGAACTCACCTTGTGTTCATTCGCATACCACCTTGGGATTTTCGACATGTGCTCAGCTCTTGCATGGGTACGGGACGGCACTCAGCATCGGCTCCTCAGCGTTAGAGTTCTTGATCCAGATCAATGCAATTGACCTACAAAAATATCGCCAAGGAATAAGCAATGCTGCGTAGAAGACTGGAGGTACGATGACGGCGAGTTGCTGCGGTTCCTAGATGTAGCCAGATTCCCATGAACCCCTTTCAGCAAGAGTGATCTCTGGAGAAACGTCGAGACCCTCAGCAGTGTCGTCAGAAGAGGCAAAGTTGACCCGCATCACAAACTGGACGTTGTCATAAGATGTCGAACGCAAATCTTGTCATGCCACAGAAATCTTTGTTGACACAGCCACAAACTCGGTTCCACGTCCACGGAGTCACCGGCGCATCTCTCCTCACCAAGCCCACCAAGCAGTAGTACGAAACTCGTAGAGCAGCACCTCCTTCATATTGCAGCTCCAGCACCTTCACCATCTCGGGCCAGGTTTGTCGGTACAGCGTCAATGTGAGCATGGCGCACGATTGATCCAGGAGAAGAGGCGACTGTACAGCGTAGAGGGATGAATTGCGCCGTCTGCACAAATTGTTTTGTTTTCGCCAAATTTGACTCCACCTTCGGTTGTGAATGAGCGAAGTTTCCCGATTTTACGTTTTTAATTAGTCATCTCAACATTGTTTCAATACTTGGATTGAAATATGAGGCATGTGAAGAGAATCCTAGTTGGTTACCTTTGTGGTTGACAGTGAAGACTAAAGATGCAACCAGCCAATAGTAAGTATTACAAATTTTAGCTCCCGCCGAGGTTATATTTACCTAATCTCTGCGAGGGAGATTAGTTATAAATTTTTAGTTATTGCATATAAATAGATCGAATCAGATTACCATTTAATATTGTGGATACACATGGTTCTGAGGGGATGGTAATCCGCATAATACGGGCGCGGCCAGGAACTCTGGCCCGCCGTCGAGGTCCCGCATGGGACCCTTGATGATGATTTTGCTGTTTAGATTGATGAACAGAAGACGCTCGGATTGCTAGAACACGCTTAGGACGACGATTGCGCATCCGGGGAGACAAAGAACGTTGGAAGCATGCAAGTTTGTGAAGTATTCTGTAGCCCTAATTTTGAATACTCAGTTTATATAACTTTGTTTATTGCTTTTTGTCCTTGTTTTCTTTCCAATATAGCTCAATTATCAGTAATAGACAGTAGAGTAATACAAGCACATGCACTGGAGATATTTCTCTATTATCAGTAATAGACAGAAGAGTATTACAAGCACATGCACTGGTGGAGATATTTCTCTTGGTTCAGGTTACGAGCACACCCCAAGTTGCTTTATGCACCCCCATTATGTCTAAACACACTCATTCAAATCCCTTTTCCTTTGTCCTTGCGTGGGTCTCGGTCCTATTCCTTCTCTCCCTTTTACCCTGCGCGCGTCCCAGCCCCCTCTCTTTTGTGGAGGGAGGGACGGGTCCCCTCCTCCCTCTCAATTCCATTCCTCCTCACGTCATAACAAAAGGTACAGTACTGGAAGCAGCGTGTCTGAAACAACTGAACCAGCAAGAGTCCGAGATTATTGTCAACATCAATTCACGAAAGCTTTATGAAATTCACAACTACATCATTCAGCACGACGGTCTATTCCCCATACTTCATATCTGCTGCCTGGCGCTATCTCTGGCAAAATAATCGGCAAGATCGGCATCTATCCAGTGTTGACGACAAAGAAGAGTTGGGGCAAACATGACTGCGCATGTTCTCTCACATGTACGTCACTAGCTGGTTTTTCCAAGGTTGCACATTCCGAGGCGAATACCGACAGATCCAAAAGAATGACCATGCTCAGAACATGAATTCCGTAGGTCTATTACTCAGCCAGTGACCAATTTCAAGGCGTACCTTCCTCAAGAATCTAGTACATATTTTGTCAACTAAATTTTACTTGAGCATGCCATGGGGTAGTCGTGCAGTCCTGCGTGTGTCCCATGAAGCCAACCTCACGTTATGGCAATTGAGTTGAAGTTGTCCGGGAGAGATCAGAGGAATTTTGTTTCTTGGATCAAGAGCCCCATCTGCTCATTTAGCTCAAG